TGTTGTATAAATGTCATGATATTTAAAGACATACATAAACCATTTTGAATTAATATAAGCAAAATTTAAAATATTTAAATACAGTTTACTTGAAATCAGAGCAATTATAAAATGAGATGAGATTGATGGTGTTTAGTAGAATCATACAACTTCCACTAGGTGGCAGAACTTCTTTAAAAGTCAAGAAGAAGGAAAGAAAAGAAAAACACTGAACTTTCCAAAGATGACCAACAGGTGTCTCCTTTCAACCATGTATCCCTTAGCTGCTGCATAAAATACACATGAATACATTTTCTAGTCTTGCTTGTTCATCTTACAGATAAGACCATCAACACTTTCCACAGGTATAAACAGAATATTGAACTGATAACTATCTTTTACCTTGCATGACATATTAACTATATAATAGCTCAAAGGGGATCGGTAACATAAAATCATAACTAGGAATAACATTTTACTACAAGTGACTTGATACAAAATAAATCTCATTAAAATGTTGTGCACAATATTTTCTGTTTGGAGTGATAGTAAATATGGCTGTTCTTATGTGATGGTCCTTACTGAGATTCTTATAATTGCTAACTCCAGACAGACAGACATACTAGCGGCGGTTAACCTGCTGGATATGGCCCTGGGAACACACAGGAAATAATAGAAATTCCAAAACAGCGCAGGGACATCCTGACATCACGTTATTCTATTGTTTTTCACGCCAGTACACACACGCACTCTCACACACATATGTTCACATTAGGCTTTGCGGACATCACTGAATAGCTACACTTTACATATATGACTATGTGACTGTTCTGTCTGTGTCCCTATTAACACTATTGTGTCCAATCAGTGACAGAATAATGTCCTCCTTCGTTTGAAAATATTAGCAGAATCCTAGGTCCATTTTTTTTTAAGATTTATTTATTCATACAGAACTGAGGTACAGGCCAGAGGCTCAGGAGCGGTGAGAGGCTTCACCAGAGACAGAGTGGGGTGCAGAACAGGCAGATTGACGAAGTACACTGCTGAGGGGAGCAGCGGGCGGGTCAGGAGAGGTCTGCCACGCCATGTGGTCACCTCCGGGGCAGGCGGGAATCGAACTCATGCAGAAGTGGTTTCAGCTTCTTAGTGCTGAGCTTTAACCCGCTGCACCACCAGGGAGGGCCCCCTAGGTCCATTTTTATTATTTCCCTTTTTATATTGGTAAGTATTTGTTCATAAATCATTCAAAAAGAAATGTGAAGAGTATTTGGCCCTCCCTCATGGTGCAGCAGGTTGGAGTGTAGCACTGCGATTCGGGCTGGGGCCACTTCAGTGAGAGGTGGATGCCCAGCCCTGAGGTGACCCACATGGCGCAGCAGACCTCTCCTGCCTCGCCCACTGCTCCCCTCAGCAGTGTACTTGAGAGATCCTCCTGTTTGCCTGTTCTGCTCCCCACTGTGTCTCTGGTGAGTCCTCTCACCACCCTTGCACCTTTGGCTTGTACTCCATTTCTGTATGTACAAATAAATCTTAAAAAAAAAAAAAGAGAGAGAGAGAGAAGTGTATTGAGCATTAAACAAAATTTATAGTCAAGAAACCCAGGTACTAAGAAGAAACATTTCTATTTATTTTAATAATAAATTAAATTTTGAATTAGGATAACAAAGCCATACATCTGTACACAAATACAGACATACAAAGCCAAAGGTGGCATAAATCTGTATCATTCACACTTCAAACAAGAACTTTGTTACTATCTAGTGTCAAAAGTGCAATTCATTGTAATATTTTTTGAAGATCTTGTTCAAACTAGGAATTAAAAAATGCACATCTCTCCTCTCTCTCCCTTCTCCACTTCAGGATTGTGCCACCAACTAAAGCTAGAAAGAAATGCTTTTCATCAGAAAGCAAGTACAATGCAGTATATATTTTTCAGCTTCTTTGATACATAGTAGTATTTACACTGTTTTTTATATCACTAAATACCTAAATGTACACACATTTCTGTGCAAAATAAATAAACCCGAGGTGTGTTCCCAAACCTTGTGAATCTAATTTATTTACCTATCTGGCAAGGCAAGAATGTGCTTTTCACGAAAAAGACTGGGTCCCAGAGAAACCCCCATCCTTTAGAAGCCTGTGGCATAGCGCGGTCCTAGACTATTCATTTACAGTTTCCAAAAAAATCATTTGCCCACTTCTTCAGAAAACAGAGGAAATAAGAGATTGTCAAATAAGTGACATCAAGTATCATCCTAATAAAATTCAGGACAAATAAGGAATTGCATTACATGGACTTCTAAAATCCCAAGGAAAGGATCCAAAGGGGCACAAGCAATAGTCAAGTTTCTTTTATAAACTCTCACTACCCCCAAAATAACTGAGCTTCTTTTGGGAGTTAAGTCCACTGGTCTGGAAATTTCACTCAGCCATATGTAAAGATCAAACATACACAAACCTGCCCTACTTTAGATATTACCTGTGCCTACTCCTTGTGACACCTGATTGACCACATGCAAAGTGACAGCTCTGGAGAAGTGGCCACGCTCACTAGCCCAGTGACCCTCATTATGTCAACTTAGGGCTCATTTTCTGCATTAGTAAACCCCACTTGGATGTGTTTTACCCAGTAAAACAGTTAAAGCTTGGGGTCCTAGTCTCAGCAAAGATGTCTGGCCCTCACCAAGAGAGAGCCTTGGTCAGGAACTAAAACCAAGCTCTCCTCCATATGATTCCTAAGCTTGCAAGGCAGGAAGTGCTCACCTAGTTTTAGCAAAGCCCTAACAGCTCGCCCTTGGGTGGGGACTTAACTTCCCTTCTCTCCTTTTTATCACACTGCTCTGGCGCCAAATGCCTCTGCTGTGTCTGAGCAGAGCACCTGCGTAGTGTGACTCAGGCTATGAGCATGCAGGCTCTCCCTCCCCTGACAGCAGGGCAGACCTCACACAGGTCTACATGTGGCTGCTTACCATGCCGCCCTGTGTAATGACACGCCGCACACCCCATCCTCAACACCATCCACTTCTCTCTGTTGGGGCAGTAACATGTCCTGGCTCATCTGTGTCACGTGTGTTGACCTCCTGGACGTGCGGGCAGAGGCGGGGTCTTGGCTCAGTCAGGACTCTATAATCCAAATTCAAGATTTTTCCAAGCATACTGAATGATTGTTACACTTTGTAAATGGATTTTAAAATGCACATATTTGCAGATCACTTTGTTATAACTCCTAACAAATAAACACTAAGGTGTTTTCTAACATTTCACCATTGTGTGTAAACTGTATGGAGTGAAAGGAGGAAATGAAAGCACATGGCAATTTGTGTTTTCTCAACTAGATTATAGCTCTAACAAAATGTACCTTTTGCAGGAAATGGGGGTGGGAAGGGCAAGGAGGATTCCTGTTTCCATAAACCAGGTGCCTAGATCTGGACTAGTACTGAGCTCAGAAAGTTGTCAGTTTAGAAAACTTACTCTGTGGTTTGAGGTGGAATTGCATGCAGGTTCATATTTTCCTGTCTCCTACAAATACATTCTGTAGTATAAAGAATCTTCTGTTGTGTTTTTGTTTCCCTTTTTAGTATTTAAATTAGTTACTGTTGAAAGAAAAAACTTAATTAAAGTTGGCTCAGGAAACCTGTTTGCTGCCCCCCACTTCTGTTTTCTCATCCCAAGATTAAGAAGTTATGCAGTCTGACAATGCTCTTTCCTTTTACAAGTCTTGACTTCACCACTATTTTCTTTTTCACTGTTTTCTTCCAGCACCTGTTAAAAACAGGGCAGGGTTCTTTATCGTGATTTTGTTCCTTGCTTAATCTTTTAGCCAAAAGCAGGGAGAAAAGACTGGAAAATACAGTATGCTTGAAAATACAGTTGAAATTCCCTTTTAAAATAAGCCACTTATGATATTTTTAGATTTAATACCATATAAAATACCTAAGTATTTGTGCTGGTTTCTAAGCTAGTTTCTTAAAACTTTAACCAAGCAGAAGCCATAATGGTGTCTTTAAATACACACATACAGAATTCAGATACTAATATTTTGGTGATTTATACTAAAAAAAAAATAGCATCATAAAAGGAGATAAATATTTGAAATGATTCCTCTGAAGACTCATACACACTTTATTCTTAAATAAAAATACACAGTGACACTTGAAAATATTTTTTAAAACCCTTGTCAGATTTATTTGCCAGAGTTCCAAATTCTTTCCAAAGTTCCTAATGAGTTTACCTACAAGATCCCATCCTCTGGCCCCAGAGCCGCTTGCTTTCCTTCTCATCTTGCAGTTGCCCAGGCCTGATGAGCATGGGCCGGCTACAAAGCATTTCTTTCAAGCCACCATAGCTAATATGGTGCCACGATTACTTAATTTCCACGAGGAAGTGCTGCCTCTGGCTTGCTGAAGTCTTAAAGACAGAAGCACATTCCCAGCATTCAGAACGGTCACAGCATGTGACTGGCTGGCTCACAGACCCTGGGAAGTCCCCCACTGTGGGGGGCCTCCTCACTCATGGGGACTTTTGCCTTTGTGCTTCTGCCTCCTTTTCCAAAAAGCCAAGAGTTAATTATTTAGTCCGTGTACAAGTAAAACCTCTTCAAGTGCCACTTCCAAATATAGGCTCTCATTAACACCAGAGGCTGACCTGGGTTCTTGTAGAACACCCTTTCCTTCCTCCAGCGAACTTTTTGTCCCACTGCATTTTGCTTTACCAGACATCTGGAAGCCAGACCAGTTTTAGAAATCACAGCTCCTAGGACCTAGCTCGCTCTCAGCGAGCACGAATAACTAACAGAGCTAAAGAAATAAAATGACCTCTCTTGAAAATACTTAAGGACTATTTTTTTCCTCTCCACTGAAATCTCCTAGAACAGCCCATTTTGAATCAGTATAATTTAGTCTGACAACAGATTCTTCCTCTGTTCACAGCTGTCCCAGAGGGAGGAGCTGAAATCTGAACCTCTCAGCTGTGATTGGATCCTTCTTGCAAAAGAGAGGAAAAAAATCCTCCCAGCCAAAACGGGCTCAGTTCCGAAAGCAGCCTGGCGACTTCAGAGGCGCCGGCCCGTCCGCCCGCTGCACCTGAGCGCGGCCCCAGCCCTGCCCGGCCGGCCACGATGCTGTAGGGACCCGGCGTCCTCCCGCCGGACCGTTATCCCCGCCGGCGCCGCCAGACTCGTGGGCACGATGCCGCGCTCCTTCCTGGTCAAGAAGCATTTCAACGCCTCCAAGAAGCCAAACTACAGCGAACTGGACACACACACAGGTAAAAAATATATATCTCTATGTATTTTAAGAAATCTAGCTCTATGTGTGTGTAAATGTGTAAATATAAACATATATCGCAAGACAAGGACCACGACAAGTAACTGAAGACTGAGTTGTTTTCCTTTTAAATAGTGTCATAAAAGAGAGTTCACATTCTTTTGATCATTTCGGCTAAGTTTTAATTCAAAACTTTTGAAACTTACCTGCCAGGAAAAATTCCATTCAGCTCTTGTAACTTCATTTTCTAAAGCTTGTATATACATGCATAACACATATGTAGAGTTTGAGTGTAAATGTTGAACTATTGCTTTTTATGTAACAAGTCTTCTTTAAAAAGTAGCTAGAATAAAGCTCGTTTTTGAACTCGCAGTCTGAAAGCCTGTAAATAATCCAAGCATACCATGGAAAACAGCTTCTCTATAGATTTAAAATTAATGTATAAATTCTTCCTTCTTAACGGGACCCCAAAGGCACTTGTTTGGCTGTGTTCCCTATACCAGCACATGGAATAACTCCTGTCACACTATTTATGCAGGAGACACAGATGTACATTAAGTGGAATATTTTCCTGACCTCTGTGTCCCAAATGATGAGTCTGCCCTGAGTGTGTTATCAAAGATCTTCTTGGTGTGTTTTTAAAGTTATTTTTTTACCTTAATTTTTTTTTCCTTTCCTTTTCTTTCCACCAGTGATTATTTCCCCATATCTCTATGAGAGTTACCCCATGCCTGTCATCCCACAACCAGAGATCCTCAGCTCAGGAGCATACAGCCCCATTACTGTGTGGACTACGGCAGCTCCATTCCACGCCCCACTACCCAGTGGGCTCTCTCCTCTTTCCGGATACCCCTCATCCTTGGGACGAGTGAGTCCCCCTCCTCCATCTGACACCTCATCTAAGGACCACAGTGGCTCAGAAAGCCCCATTAGTGACGAAGAGGAAAGACTGCAACCCAAGCTTTCAGACCCCCATGCTATTGAAGCTGAAAAGTTTCAGTGCAATTTATGCAATAAGACCTATTCAACTTTTTCTGGGCTGGCCAAACATAAGCAGCTGCACTGTGACGCCCAGTCTAGGAAATCTTTCAGCTGTAAATACTGTGACAAGGAATATGTGAGCCTGGGCGCCCTCAAGATGCACATTAGGACCCACACCTTACCTTGTGTCTGCAAGATCTGTGGCAAGGCGTTCTCCAGGCCCTGGTTACTGCAAGGACACATTAGAACTCACACTGGTAAGAGAAAAATTAGACAGGAATGTTACTCTGATGGCAGGAAACTCAGGGCTGGCTGTTGGATTTGCATTAAATAGTGACACAGTGTTTTTAAGGATGGATGGTCATTTATAGCTGCTTCCTGGCTGCTCAAAAAGTTGCTAGAGCACAAAGTGCTCCATTTCTTGTTAACAATCTGCTCCAGAGACTGCAAACAACATTTAGACTTTGGAAAGTAGATTCAGGAGGTTTGGTCTCAAAGATCAGTTAGAAAACCAGGAAAGATGTATCTGAATGTGTGTTTTGTTAAACCAGCCCTTATCATCAGCAAATACAAATGTTGCTATCTTAATGCATTGATTCGATTGCTAGATAGATGAAGGGTTTTCCTTAAGTTTTATGTTCCAAATCTTGCGGTGATTAACTACCAACCCAAGTAAGTTGGGTAGTAGGAACTGAATTTGTTCCCCATTGTTTAACTTTATTTTTGCAGCTGATTTTTTTATTCCTATACAAAATTGCCCTTCAGGGAATAAAGGCATGTATCCAGCCATAGACAAAATACAGATGGAGGGAAAAGGGGAAATGTTGGGAAATGTTGGGAGGAGCTCAACATTAGCTGCACCTGCTAACGTAGGACGCTTTAACAAGTGAAAGTCCTACAGTTATGTGAATTATTTCTGTATGATTTGCATTGGTAATGATTTCCTTGGAGTGTTTTTTAATGTAACATCCAAATTTATCTTAAAAGGACAGATACTAAAATTAGTATCTTGTATAAGGAATTTGAGTTAAATCCTGGTGCGTCTCATTCTTATGGCAAAATGTGGTTGATAGTCATATACTTATCTGACTGTATGTTTCCTCTAAAAACACTGACTGTCTTTCTTTCTCACCCCTATCCCACCCCCAGGGGAGAAGCCTTTTTCTTGCCCTCACTGCAACAGGGCATTTGCAGACAGGTCAAATCTGAGGGCTCATCTGCAGACCCACTCTGATGTAAAGAAATACCAGTGCAAAAACTGCTCCAAAACCTTCTCCAGAATGTCTCTTCTACACAAACATGAGGAATCTGGCTGCTGTGTAGCACACTGAGTGACGCAATCAATGTTTACTCGAACAGATGCATTTCTTCACTCCGACTCCAAATGACAAATAAAAGTCCAAAGGCATTTTCTCTTGTGCTTACCAACCAAATATGTATAGTCACACACACACACACACACACACACACACACACACACAGCTGCAAGACCATGGAATCCATGTGTTTAAAGTTAATCCTTTCCATGTGAAGTTGAAAATTACTTTATATTTACTGACAGCTAGATTGAGAGGATAAAAGACAAAGATATTTGTCTTAAAAGATGATGCAAAAAAAGCACATTGCATCTTTTTTTAGTAAGAAAGAATGCAAAGATTTACATTGCTGCCAAATCATTTCAACGGAAAAGAACAGTATTGCTTTGTAATAGAGTTTGCAATAGAATTTCCTATAGGAAGAGAATCTGCCAGACGCTATCTCAGGTGCCTTATAAAGTATTCCAAGTTTACTTCATTACATGTCTGATGTCTGGTTGCCGTTGTTAAACTAAAGTTTTTTTTATGATTATCGGAAATGCTTTAAACTCTATTTTTGAGAAAGAGATAAAAAGAACAAGAACCAAACACAGGAGAATGTATTAAATGTGTTTCTTTTTTTTTTTCTTTTTGTTTGTTTTTTGCCAATAAACAGTATGTGCCTTGTTGGGGGAGGAGGGAAAGACTAGCTTTGAACATTCCTGGTGCATCCCCATGTCTTACTTTTTTAAAAGAACTTTTAACAATTTTCTAAAATTAATTAAAAATGGGAATAAGTGCAAGAAATTATTCTTAGAAACTCAGTAATGTACTGAACTATGTTGAATGCATACGCAAATGCAATCCATACAACACCCATTCTAAGTGCCTTTTTAATTAATTGTATAGTCTATGAGTCAATGTAAATTTGTGTTTATTTTTATATGATTGAATGAGTTTTGTATGAAAGTGAGATGTTGTCTATAGCTAATGTCTATAAGCAACTTGAAGACTGTTGAAATCTATGTTCTTTAAAAAAAAACAATTTTCAAGGTCCTTTTTTACAATAAACATTTTTGATTTAAAATCTATTGTTTGTATGCTCTTTTCAGAGGGGCTTAATTTAGTACCTAGCTAATACACAAATAATTGTCTTGGCTAAGAGAAAAAATGAAGTGCTTATTATTAAGTTTTATTTTATGTGTAATATTTTCTTAAACTGCCAGTATATTTTCTTAATTTTAAGATAATACTGTCACATTCAGAAAGACAACATCAAGAGGTAGTATAAAGAGCATATCCCTTTCATACTTTCTGAGTGTTAAAGTATTTATATTATTGATAGTCAATTATACTCTCCCAAACTATCTTTATGATGAATTTATTGTGTTGGCTTTTTTATATAATGAGTGACTATCACCTAGCTTTGGGGTAGTTTTTTTTTTTTTTTTAAGAAATATTTTAATAAGATGTAGGAGAAATTTGAGAAACTGCACTAAGTCAAGAAAAATGGATTTATCATAAATTATGCAGGTTAAAATATTAAAACATGCTAAGAAACTCCAAACCTTGTGATATAAAATGATTAGATTTAATGGGAATGAGTAAATAAGAAAATGTTAAGATTTCTCTTTATCTTATTTTTGTACAAAACCCCATCCAAAGACAGTATGTACTTAAGTTTAGCATGATCAGTCATTCAAAATCCAAACACATGTTTACCAAATCATGTGCCCTAATTTATTTGTAAAAATGCTAACCATCATAGGCACTGAGACAGTTACCAAACTGCATTTAAAATCAAACTGCAAACCCATTGTGGGTTCCAGCTGCTATGAATCACTTCTCTTTAGTTTTCTCAGGTCTTACATAATTATTTTTCCTTTTAAGGTCCTTGTGATATATATTAAGGCTGGAACGGGTTCTCAAAGATATTATACTCCAAGGGATTTGAACTACCAATACTGTTCCTTTAACATTCACATACATTACAATGCATATCATATTTAAATATTAAGTCAATGTATAAAAGAGATGTACAGTTGATTAAAAAGCATTTAACACTAAGGTTTTCAACGTCTCAGGACATATCTCAAAGGCAAAGTTATCTGGAGCTTTACTTGTCAGCATAGTTTTTTTTTAAAAGACTTTAATTAATACAGATGGCATGGAAATGACTGTCTGCAGATTTCCAGAATAGTTTACCAACATGGAGAAACATCTTATTAGGGCAAATGAGAGCAAGTCAGACATTTCTGAAGTGATCTGGTTGTTTCTCTCAATAATTATATCTACCTATGTTTCTTTCCTTCATTTGCAAATCTCTAGGCAAGTCGTTTACTGGGGTCCAAAATTTAAACATAAAAGTTTCCCAAAAGGAGAAGTCTATTCATTGGTTAAATTTCTTTTCTTTACTTTTTTTTTTTGGGCCGCGGGTTCAAGCACAGCACTAAGAAGCTAAAGCCTCTTCAGCATGAATTCATCCCTGCCCCGGAGGTGACCCACATGGCGTGGCAGACCTCTCCTGACCCGCCTGCTGCTCCCCTTAGCAGTGTACTTTGTTGATCTGCCTGTTTTGCACCCCACTCTGTCTCTGGTGAATAAAAAATAAAAATAAAGATTTATTCATTATTAATAAGATTTATTTATTATTTATGCATACAGAACTGGAGTACAGGCCAGAGGTACAGGGGCAGTGAGAGGATTCACCAGAGACAGAGTGGGGTGCAGAACAGGCAGATCACAAAATGTTCTGCTGAGGGGAGCAGCAGGTGGGTCAGGAGAAGTCTGCTTCGTCAGGTGGATCACCTCCGGGGCAGGGGATCCAACTAGCACTGAAGCCACTGTGGCTAGCTTGCAGTGCTGTGTTCCCACTGGCTGTGCCACTAGGAACAGCCCATGGTTTAATTTCTTAAGAAAGTATTGATGACAATAATTTTGCAAGTTATTTTATTTTTTTAACTTTATCCTCACCATCCTAACTCCATTCATGATTAAAATATCTTGCTCTCATTATTTTAATATGGGTCTGAACAAGATACAAAAGGTATTAAGATTTTATATAAATACAACTCATTAGTTTTTAAAGATTTTAGCACATTCACCAAGATCTTTTGCTAGATGGCCATTCTGCAATATGAGATCTGGCTCAAATGTACTTACTTTGAAATACTTCTCAAAATCTGCTCTTTCTGTGAGCTTTATATTATTTATATGGTAGTACTTTTCTCCCCATAGCACAATTGTTATCCTCACTTCTCACTAGAATGACCAACCTTAAAAATTATCAACGTCCAGCACATCACCTGGAACACAGACATCAACAAATGTTTGTGGAATGAATAAAATAATACAAACTGATGAAAAATAATTTACAGGTCTAAAATAAATGAAGAACACCCTCTTTATTAGACTGATCATTTTTGAGATTCTCTCAGCGAATTTGTCACTCCCAATAGATTGCATTTTTAAAAAAGGGAAGGAGGAACAAATATGACACACATTAAGCTAGATTCCAGATTAGAACAAGAGCCTCAAGAGCCTGATCTTTGAAAACTATGAATTTGAATAATAGGAACATAGGCTAACAAACATTTTTAGTGCGCTGAAATTGCTTCCAAATTATGAGACAGCATAGTGTTGTAGGAAGACCATTAGTTTTTACAGTTTTTTTTAAAGATTTATTTATTTATGCATACAGAACTGGGTTACGGGCCAGAGGTGCATGGAAGGTGAGAGGTTTCATCAGAGACAGAATGGGGAGCAGAACAAGCAGATCGTCAAAGTACACTGCTGAGGGGAGCAGCAGGCTGGTCTGGAGAGGTCTGCCACACCATGTGGATCACTTCTAGGGCTGGGGATAGAACTGAAGCAGCTGTGGCTCGCTTGAAGTGCTGTTTCCTTACCCATTGCACCACCAGGGAGGGCCCCGTTTTTATAGCTTTTAAATACAACAGGTGCATACATTGAATCACTGCCTCACAGTGATTAGCTTTATGTCTTTATTCAACTTACAAACCCAGATGCTTCAGATCCTAAAGAGAAAAATAGAAATAGATTCTCAGTCTTGTGAACTAATAAACCTTATAGAGTATAATAAAATATATTCACTGTGATTATTAAATACTGGATATGTACCTGTTCTTGAACTCAGAAACTTACATATGATATTTTCAACGGTGTCCATTCTTGTATGAAGTTGCTATATTATAGAAAGGATATTAAATTCAGAGACTTTGGATACATAGTCAAGTTAATCAAGTTGGTGCATTACAAAGTGAAATGTAAACCCATATTCTACTGACTCCAGAGACCATTTCTTCACTTCACCACGGGAATAGAGATAGTTTAACTGCATGAAGCATAATTGTTTATATATTGTAGGCATGTAACCATATATATATATTTTTAAATGACAAAAATAATGTTCCCTGAAATTAAATGTTTAGGCTGTATTTAAGAACTATAATAATTCCAGAACTATGCAACAACATACAGCAATTTTCAGAGCCACTTTCCAATTTCTTTTCTGGAAATCACTTGGCTCCACTCTCTCCAGTGTGGGCCCTCCCCATCCTGACAAGCTCTTCTATAGCTTCCCTAAGTTATCCTGGTGCCTGCAAGCCCATTTCCTCTGACTGCTTGCAGTGAGATGAAAAGCAGCTGGTCTTCGTCCTCTGTACATTAACACTTCATTTTCTGAAGGCCACTACTAGTCCTTCACACACCCACACTCCTCACCCAGCCTTTTATCTTCCTAGACTAAAATATCTTCCAAACTAAACAGTCATTTCTTTCACCACTGAAAATGTGGACACTGGTGTCATAAAGCAATTATAATTTTGAAAAGTCTAGGACTTCCCCTGCTAAAATCAACATCCCAGAAATCTCTAGTTTAGAGATGGGAAACATTTTGACATCATAATTTAAGATTGTATTTTCTGCCATCGAGGAAAATAACAATCTCACGTAAACTATTTTTCAATAAATCTTGATTTTTTTGTTAGAAACAGATGAAGAACAAAATAATTTTCACTTACCTGAGCCAGACACACATGGAGGGGCAAAAAAAAAAATCCTCTCATTTGATTTTTCAGTAGTAAATACACATAATCTATGACCACAGGAGTACACGTATAGCTAAAGTTAGATTTAGCCCCTCAGCCCTCCAGGAAGTAATAATCACTTTGTGGAAAGCACACATGTAAAAAAGCAACAAGTATGGCAACTTTTCCGTTGTGGCACTTGGCCAGACCCCCGAACAATGAGAGATCAGCAGAGGAAATGGCAGCATATCCATGTCCGAAAACTCCAAAGGCACTGATGAGATATTTATAGCAGTGAGTGGGAGCAAGGCTGCAAATAACAGACAGGTTAGTTGATATAATTTGTACTCGAGTTCATTTAATTAGGCTCCTATGCTTATAACAGTTTAAGCCACTCAGGAAGTTTCTGGAAATTTGTGCAATTGTGAGTTACTGTGAATGATGTTTCAGGGATTTTCTTAATAATACAGTGATCAGGCTTGTTAAGCCTTCATTCCAACCTTTAGGATGGTAGAGGTCAACGTATGCCTCTTTTGAGATTTATTGAGACTAGAATTTATTCCCTCCAAGATAAGGTGCATCAATTAATAAATAGTTTCAACTACATTGTGAAGAAGGATAGGTGCTGATTCTAAGGTTTGGGAAGGAAAGAAAGACACAGATTGACTAAGATAATGCTTCATTTTTCATATTTACCTTTGATTTTCTAAATATGTTTTAATCTTTCCCAGTTCTCACCTATTTTGGGGGACCCATGAAATCATACTGGCTCTTTCCAGTCTTACCATACCTAAACTGATCTCTGTTCTCTAGAGATAAACTTATAAATAGAAGTTTGTTACAAGCCAAAAGGTCTACCCAAGTTAGTGAGGCTAACAGCAAGAAGTACCCCTGCTGCTCAGTCCTTGGAACCTGGTGGCTCCCTTCTTATTGATTGGTAGGTCCCTAATCCCATAGCTTCATTTTTTTTTTTCAGAAATATCTATAATTATGTTGTATTCCCCCTAGTTTTAGAATTCTTTATTCATGTCATTTTATTTTT